GCATTCGAAATATTTACGGAGTCAATAGTGTCTATAGTAAATCCCGAAAATAGACGTACACGTAATGGAGCAGCGTCTAAACCGCGCTTAAAGCCAATATAATAAATCATCTCATCGTGGTTGGGCTCTCTTTATTATCGGCTCCTCGAGGAATCCGTCCTTTATGAAATTTCGAGCGATTTCGCATTCACGTATCGGGTGTTGGCGTGACAACTTCATAACTAAAAATAGCCCATTATTCAGTAATTGGCACAAGTAGATGTGATTCGGGGACGAATCGATAATGAATTTTTATAGTGCGTTCGTGCCGCGATGAACTTGTCACGTGTTTAAAGATCCGGAAGGAAATCCGGGAGCAAGAAAAATCGGCGCACTTTGTACGCCAGCGGAGCGAAACTGTTACAAGCTGTGCTCTTACTTGGCTTGTTTTTGCTCACAAGTACGCCGGAAAAGTGGGCGCGAGTACTAATTCGGGTCAGTGGGTGGGACGGAAAGATCATCTTTGCTGGGGAGTTCGAAGTTGGAGACGAAATGTTGAACGGGATTTGAATAAAAATGTTTCGGGAAATTTTGACTGATAACTGTGTTTTGGCATGGCTTTGTACGAGTTCTATTCTGAAACTGGTCGACAATGACAGTTGTTTTGTTGGGTGACTCATAAAAGATTAATTAAAACCGACTCAGAGAATGAATGCTGGTCAGATTTTGTCTTACGTCCCACGATTTGTTCGCTATCGACGACAGTTTGTCGTTGGAACAAATTCAATGGTGTCAGTTGCAAAGACGACACAATGGGAGAAAACTGGTGTCTCTACGTTTCATCCTTTCTGACATTTCAAGATACAAAAGGAAAACATTCTGAAATTTTAAAAAAATTTTCAACGTGTTTTGATCATTTTCACTTAATTTCACATTAGGTCATATAAATATTTGTTTATATAATTCGTTTCTCTCAAAAAAATGTTAATACTTCTTTAAGCAGTTAGCCATAATTCATGTTCTAATTGTCAAAAGTTACAAAAAAAAATTGGTCTAAAGAGTTTAGACAGTACTTCCCTCGCTGTCGGAAACTTGACGACTGCATGCCTATTGTGTTTTTTTTTCTCATTACATTTTTGTAGTGGGAATTTAAAAAAAAATTGCGATGACGTCATCAACATTTTTGCAAGGACACGTATATCAGTTGGGATAGATGTAGTGTAATACTAAGAATAAAATTATTATATTCTCAAATTTTCGGGAAAATGAATTGGGTCGTTTGAATATTGATTTGTAATAATCAATAAAATAACGAAACAATTTACTCACGTATACCTACGTATCAGAGGCAACTAAAAATCGTGTATGTATAAACATTGTTAATTTAAGATGACAGGCGTAACAGCATACGTGAGAGCCAAACACAGAAACTGTAAACAAAACGACCGTCGGTTTTATTGCTTCGACTTCCGCTTATTATATAAAACATTGGGTTTTATTTTAATTCTTGACGGTGAAATTCACAATTGGTTGATTATAAACATGTCTATTTCGCATTCGCGGAACCAAGTGACCGCATAAAACAAATGCAGATCTGTAACGTTAAAGTCGATGTAAATAAGCGTGCTACCCTTATGTTTCAACCGAGTTTTTCCTTTAACAAATTTTGTGTCTACCAAATTGGGTTGGTTGGGGTGTAATACTAATAATAAGTGTTGCCTTTAATTTAATCAATAAAATAAATTGACTTCATTAATTTTTTTGAACCACCTCTTAAGAAAATCTAAAAAATATGAATGGAATGATAAATCACAAGTACAAACTCATCATATTTTTTGCATTTTAGATAGGATTTATTCAGCAAAATTTAAGGGTGACGTCATCAATTTTTTTAGGAGGGATGAACAAATACATTTTGAACAAAAGTTTACCATGCTTATAATAACTTTAAAATATTCCCAAGATTTCAAAGCATTCGGTTTTGTAATTCCTGATTAAATCGATAAAATAAATTCACGCCTTCATTAATTTTTTTCAGTCACCCTGCATATGCAAATCCAAAAATATGAATGGAATGATAAATCACAAGTACAGACTCATCATATTTTGTACATTTTAGATGCGATTTATTCGGAAAACTTTTGAGCTGACGTCATCAGTTTTTTGTAGAAGATAACCAAATATATTTTGACTAAAAATTTATTATGCTCTTTATAACCTTAAAACATCTGCAAGATTTCAAAGCATTCGGTTTTGTAGTTCCTGATTAAATCAATAAAATAAATTTACGCATTCATTAATTTTTTTGAGTCACTCTGTATATGCAAATCCAAAAAATATGAATGGAGTGATAAATGACAAGTACAGGCTCATCATATTTTGTACATTTTAGATATGATTTATTCGGCAAACTTTCGAGCTGACGTCATCAAGTTTTTGGAGGGGATAAGCAAATATATTTTGACTAAACATTTATTATGCTCTTTATGACCTTAAAACATCTGCAAGATTTCAGAGCATTCGGTTTTGTAGTTCCTGATTAAATCAATAAAATATATTTACGCATTCATTAATTTTTTTGAGTCACCCTGTATATGCAAATCCAAAAAATATTAATGGAGTGATAGTTCACAAGTACAGACTCATCATATTTTGTACATTTTAGATATGATTTATTCCACAAACTTTTGAGCTGACGTCATCAAGTTTTTGGAGGGGATAAGCAAATATTTTTTGACTAAAGATTTATGATGCTCTTTATAGCCTTAAAACATCTGCAACATTTCAAAGCATTCTGGTTAGCAGATTAAAAATTAAATTTAAAAATGTTGTTTTATAATTTTGATTTTTTTTACAAAAATCTGGACGTTTCGGGTGAAAAGTCGATTCAGAGTTGTAAACTACATGTGTAGGACTATGTTATTTTATACAATTGAAAACCCATTTACTATGTACAATTTTGAAGTGACGTCATCGCTTTAGTGGTGGGGATGATTCGACAAATTTTGGTTAGCGTTTTACCATCTACATGATATTCTTAATATAAGTACAAAATTTCACAACAATCGGTCGAGTACTTTCGGAGATTATCTGTCTAATAAAAATCCGTGACAACAGACGGACAGACGGACAGACGGACAGACGGACAGACGGACAGACGGACAGACGGACGGACAGACGGACAGACGGACAGACAGACGGAAATGGGAGACCTATTTCTTCGTCTTCTAGGGGTCATGAAAGATCGAGAAAACGTAAAAGTAGAGAGTCGGCCGACGGACTCGATTACAATACTTCCTTTGCTTACGCTCGGGAAGTAAAAAACGTGCACACAGTAAAGACATTTTCCAAAAAAATATATAAAGTGAAGTTTATTCTAGAAAATATTATCCATTCGGGATTTTTTTCGAAAAAATCTGTCAAACAAACTGTCAAATAAACATTCAAATAGCTACAGTTCCAACATCATCATTTTAACAATAAATTTCATGGCCTACCAAAGGATTTTTTTTCGATGTCGTACAATTATTTTTGACCAAATAATCGCCATGTTTTAACAATTAATTGAAATTATTTGACATTGACAAAATTAAACTTTTTGTTTACCTGATTAAAAAATGCATCTGATAAATGGAACAGAAAACTACCAAACCAGCTCAGTTTGTCCAACAAATACCATCTGAAAAGAAAAAACTCGTCTAGGAAGCACTGAAATTTAGTGTCAAAAAAATATATGTTGGTATAATACCAACGCGGTCGTTACGCGGTTTTGACAGATACGGCCAAATAACTGCCAATCGCCGCATTAACATAATCACTTTATTAAAAAATTTCATGGCCTACCAAACGACTTGTTTTCGATGTCGTACAATAATTTTGACCAAATAATCGCCATTTTGCCCAGTTTTTCACAATCCTACTCTACGTCGAAAAAATCAAGAATGGATACCACATGATTAAAAAAAAACTCGTCTAGCAACCTGTGGAATTTATGTCAAAAAAATTGTGTTACCAGCGCGTTCGTTGTACTGTTTGACAATTACGGTCAAATAATTCTCAAATAACTCCAATGCATCATCGTTTTAATAATAAATTTCATGGCCTACCAAACGACTTTTTTCGACGTGAAACAATTATTTTTTACCAAATAATCGCCATTCTAACCATATGGCCACAATTAATTACAGTAAACTAATTTTAAGTTCAAATTTACATTAAACTTTCGTTAAATAGAATGACTGACACTAACATACTGTTGAAACAAAAAATCAGTGGTAAAAATGTGACCCTTGTACTTTTGAGCACATAGACCAGCAATAATAAATACGAACAAAATTTTCAAACCCAAAACACGGTTTCTCGAGTTCTTATACGTTCAAAAACATGTACGTATTTATAGGACTGTTATAAAAATGAAAATATTTCTCATTGAAAAGCCCCTTTGTAATTCTATGACTGAATTACAAAAACTTGTTAAAAGCTCTGTCCATCAATATGTAGAATCATCTTTTTTAACAAATCAACATTATTTTTTTATGATAAGTTATAATTCATCCCTCGATTACTAATGAACCACCATAAAAATTACATTACTGAAACAACTAAATTCTTGAAGAAATCGATACAACGTAATAGAGCCAACTCAAGGTTACCGAAGAACACAGAATCTTGGAAATTGTCTAACTCTTAAAAAATTAGTGTCACAAAAAAATCAGCGAAGGTCATTTCGATGTTTGTAAACACCAATATAATAAATTTCGTTTTGAAAATATAAAAAACAAACCCAGGACAAAGTGTGTTTTTATAAATAAAACACCGACAATCACCCCCATCCTAAGACGAGCCGCATCCGACCACCCCCGCCCTCTGATCTGATAAATCACCACAACCCATACGACACGCACCAACGCAACAAACGATCACAGGAGAAGAGATAATAATCGCAGACCCCAAAATAGCCCCCGTAATTAATTAGGCACCACATAAACCAACCCGGCGACGACGAATCCCCTTCAATTTACCTTGAAAAAGCGCCGATCTGGCCCTGCCTCAAACCATCACGACCTCCACCACATGGTAAGTCCCACCTCACGTAGTCACGGGGTAAGCTTGACTGACGAACACACCACCCAGCGTCCGAAACGCGACTGAACCACGGACGCGGAGGCTGGCGAGATCCTCGCGAGATGCATAAATGCCCTGCGCCACTGTATCGGGACTCTTAATTCCTCCTTTTTTTCCGGAGATGCGTTAGATTTTTTGCAAGCAGCGAATCATTTGTGTTAGAGGCCGTCGTTACAGGAGGGATTAAAGTGTCGCGCCACTGCGAAATTTATGGCCGGTGATATTTCAAGGGGGTTAGGAAACGACCGAAGTTGCGATTGAAGTTTATAGAATTCGGGTTAGCAGTTGCGGAAAGAAGTCGGACGGAGACCGGTGCACCGAGCGAGGTTTTGGAGGTGGAGATGATTAGAAAAACGCGGGTTTGGGATGCTTAATTGGAGTGGTTTATGCGGGTTATAAAAAGAAATTTGTTGTTGGGTCGGCTTTGGAAAGTCGATCGACATAGATCAGGACCAATTAGAGGTTTTTAAAAAAGACAACGGAAAAATCGGGTGCCTCTGATTTTGTTCTATTTTTATGTTGGACTTGAGTGTAAAATTGGAACGATTATTCATAAATTAACAGCGCGAACGGAGTCGAAAAAGCGGAAATAATCATTTTTTCTGACAGAATCCCGACTACATGAAACATTGTTAACTCGTTTGATATTAAAGGAAATTAAAAAGAATTAAAAACGGTTTTAACTTGTCACATAATTTGTGCCACCTTTTTCTTACTGAATTATTAAAATTGCTTCTTGGGTTTTTTAATTTTTAATTAAAAATTCTTTTCTTATGAATCATGATGACTAAGCACATTTAAAGTATCATAGAACTTATATTCCTTTCAGGCAACATACTTAACATAATTTGCAGTTTTCCGAAAATTGTGTCGATCTCACCAAAAAAGAACAACAAAAGAAAGTTTGTGCGCTCAAAAAACATTTTTTAATCATTTTTATAACTTTCCTAATTTTTATAATTTTTTAAATAACGTTTAAAAACAGATTTTGCGTCCACTGAGTCGTTTTGTTGGTGTATTCTTCTCAAAGTATTTTCACTCTAGACTTCTAACAAGAATAAGAGATTCTTACTAACATTCTAGATGTAAAAAAACATAAGCGGATGGAAAAGCTCTTAATTTTTTTCCATGTTTTTCCACGACTGTGTAACGTACATCAGTGAAGTTCTTGGTGCTTATTTTAAAGCAATTTGCTACTGGAATAGAAAAAGCAGAGCTGAATAATTTAGTTTTTTGAAATCAAGACTTCTTCCATTTCGTGTATTCACGTTATTTTCTCTATGTTTGTCTTGCTCAGTTAATTTCCCTATATTTTTATTCAGGATCTAAAAAAATAGTTTCCACGACATTAATTAACATAATATTCACATCTGTGCAAAGTTTGATAAAATGCCTTAGCAATTACCATTAACCTTGATATATTAATTTATTCGCAGCCACTAGTTGATACGGTAATGAAGCAATTTGTAATCGGCTTACATTGGACAAGAAACCCTCTGAGGACAGCATCCAATAGTAACTAGATCGCATCAAATAAAATTTTATTAACAAGTTGACATTTCCTCAATGTAGCTCAAAGACGTAGTGTATACGGAAATTAGAAACTCTTTACTATATTCCAGCAAAAACCATAATATGTACATTATTGAACACCCTGTATATCTTCGACAACATAAACAGACACTTTACAGCAAATATTATGGTCGAAACTTGCAATAGTGCAAGTCTGTTATCAAAGTTTGCATCTCCTCACGATCGTAACAATTAACATTTTACGGTTAAGTTGCACAAGCTGATGGAGCTAACTTCACCGATATCCGTACGTTTTAGAAGATGAGCTTATTAGAGTTAGAAAACGACCTTTATCCTCTTCACGTACATACCACTCCAGACGTGTTCAAACTAGTAACAATACACTATTATTCCACTTTATGCCGATCATCTACTTTGTTGCATATGGCACACTTCTCCGTCTGCTGCATTCGAAATATGTTATTTCTTGGAGGTTTTCCGACGAATCCGACCACTGCCAGCAAAAAATGTCATTACTTTTTTAAACAATATCGTTAGCGTCTAGCATCTGCGTGGCGCACTCTACCTCTCCCTAAATAACTCTAAAGCGACCAATTTTTCTGTTCTGCAGCTGGCTTTAATTTATGCGCACACCCAGCAAACATCCTCCCCCGCGTCCTCGCGCCCACGCCCCAAATCCGAAGTTTGCGAGGTATTTGCTGTTTGGGGTCATACGGTTACTAAACACTGTCAAAGTAAACACAATGCAAACTCTAAGAAATTTTAATAGGGGTATAAGCGCAGTAGTGAAGGTTGTGGGAACTCTGCGGCGTGCGACCAACCGCACCCCCTCGCTCGGAAAACAGCTGTTTGATAACATCATGCCTCCCGAAGAGCTTGTCGATAGTGCAGCGGCATGGACGCGGGGAAGTACACGGGCGGTCTGGGTTTTTATTGATGTATGGTTTTTGTTATGAGTGCTAACGCAGATGTCTGTCTCGCGATGATGTCATGTGTAAGAGTTTCATCCATCACGAAGTGGAGAGACAGATAAACCTAAGAATTTTTTATCAGCGGCGATGCCTAATAGTTTGTTTTTCCAACTTGCTGTAATAACAATAAAATAAGTGGGAGGGGGTGTGTCGGCGATGACAAATTGGGCACGGAAGCTTGAGGTAAACACGGGCTGGGGGAAGATGGCCGAAATGTAACGAAATGGGGAGTGCGGAGATCTTTTGTCGTGGTCTTAATTCCGGTCTGAGAGATGTTGTTCGTGGCACCAATAGTGTACATAAATCGAAAATCACAAAAAGAAAAAACAGAAAATCGAAAAATCGAAAGTCCGAAAATCTAAAAGTAACAAAAATTGAAAACACGAAAAATTCAAGAATGTAATGATTGAAAATTTAAGAAATCGAACAGTAAAAAAAATGAAAGAAAAGTCTAAAAACTGAAGAATGTAAAAATTGAAATCGAAAATTTAAAAAATCAAAAATCGAAAATTCGAACAATCGAAATCTTGAAAAATCGAAAATCAAGATTTCGAAAAATAGAAAAATCCAAGAATTAAAATATAGAAAAAACGAAATATCGAAAGTGTAAATATAGAAAAATCGAGAAATCGAAATTGAGAAATTCGAATATCAAAAAAAAATCGAAAATTGGCAAAATGAAAAATCTAAATTTAGAAAATTGAAAATTTTAAAGATCGGAAAGCCGAAAAGTCCACGAATCTAAAAATCGAAAAGCCGAGAAATTGAAAAACCGAGAAATCGAGAAATCGAAACGTTCAGCAGTCGAGAAATCGACAAACCGAAAAATTTTAAATTAAAATACACATGTATCGAAAAACTGAAACATTCAGAAATAGAAATTTTCCAAAATTGAAGTGTTGAAAGGTATCGAAATCGAAAAATTTTAAACATTGGAAAGTCGAAAAATCGAAAATTCGAAATTTCGAAAATTGAAATTTTGAAGAAACGAAAATTCGAAAAATCTAAAAACCGAAAAATTGGGAAATACATTGAAAAAGTGAAACATCGACAAATCGAAAAATCTAAAAATCAAAAATTCGATGAATAACATATTCGAGAAATCGGAAACCCGAAAATTCGAAAATCCAAAAATCAAAATATAGAAACAACGAAATATTGAAAATCGAACATTGGAAAATTCTAAAATCAAAAAATCGAAAAGTCGTAAAATGGAAATATTGTAAAACCTGAAAATTAAAGTTAGAAAAAATCGAATGTCCAAAATTTGAAATTTCGACAATTGAAAATTTGAAAAATCCAAAAGCCGAAAAATCGAATCGAAAAACCGAGAAACTGGGAATTCAAAACATCGAAAAGAAAACAAATTGAAAATTCGAATATCGAAAAATCGAAAATTCGATTAATCAAATATATTCGGAAAACCGAAAATTCGAAAATCTAAAAATCGAAAATCAAAATTCTGAAAAATCAAAAATTCGAAATTCTAAACTTCAAAGAATCGAAGAATCCAAGTATCGAAATATGAAAAAATGAAATATTAAAAATCGAACATTGGAAAATACTAAAATCGAAAAATCGAAAGGTCGTAAAATGGAAAAATTGTAAAACCTAGAAATCAAAGTTTAAACTATTCAAATATCAAAAAATCGAAACTTCTAAAAATGGAAAAATTTCGAACACAGTAAATTGAAACATTAAAAAATCGTAAAATGGAAATACTGAAAAATCAAAATATGTGAAATTAAAAAAGCAAAAAATCGAAAAATCAAAAATTCCATGAATCAAATATTCGAAAAATAGAAAAATCAGAGAATCGAAATATAGAAAAAACGAAATATAGAAAATCGAAAAATCCAAAATTCTAAAATCGAAAAGTCAAAAAATGGAAAAATTGAAAAATCGGGAAACTGAGAAACTGAAATTTAAAAAGGAAAAACCTAGAAATTTGAGAATTCAAAACATCGAGAAGGAAAATTCGAATATGGAAAAATCGAAAATCCGAGAAATCGGAAAACCGAAAATTCGAAAATCTAAAAGTCGTAAAATGGAAAAATTGTAAAACCTCGAAATCAAAGTTTAAAAAAAAGTCGAATATCGAACAATCGAAAATTCTAAAAATGGAAAAATCAAAAAATCGAAATTTTGAAAATTGAAAAATCGAAAAGCCGAAAAGTAGAAAAACCAAGAAATCGAGATCTCGAAAAGTCAACAAACCCAAAAAACCTAAAAATCTAAAAAATCTAAATATCGAAAAATTGAAAAATCCACAAGTAGAAAAATTCCCAAAATTGTTGAAAAGTTTAGAAATCGAAAATTTGAAAAATCGAAAAATTTTGAACATGGTAAGTCGAGAAATAGAAAATTCGAAAAGTCGATAAATTGAAATATTAAAAAAATCGAGGAATTAAAATGTCCAAAGATGAAATTAGACAAAATTGGGAAACCGAAAAATTGAAACATCGAACAATTGGAAAAATGAAAAATATTTCGACTTCCCA